GTGCGCTCGATACCGAGGGAAACCTAACGCCCGCGTTTCTCCTTCCAGGTGGGGGTCCCGGGAACACCGCCCACGGTCATGGCACGTGAGACCCGAGCGTCTGGTGCGTCTGGAAAGGCGGTTGGAGCGCGGGTGCCTCCCCGCGGGTCTCCTCGGGCGGCCACGCCGCGCCCCCTCCGCCCGGACCCGGGACCGGGACGCGCAGGGCGGTGCCTGCCCCCGTGGTGGGTGTTTAGAGCCCGCGGGAAGTAAACCTCGGCTGTTTAAGTTACTGAGCCGGGAGGGTTTTGTCACCTGAGCGGACCTTTGTCACCTCTGATGTAAGAGGAGGAGACCCCGGGGACCTTCTCATCGGGCTACTTTGGAGACCCCGGGACCTCGGACCTCGCAGGCGGCCCTTGCTCTCGCTCTGCCTCTGCCCTTGACCCCCGGTCTCTCCCCCGGGTAGCCAGGCGCTTTTACCCGCTGGCGCGCGTTGGGCGGGAGGACGGTCCGCTGCAGGAGCCCGGGGCTCTGAGCCGAGGCTGGGCTCTGACGCCTGCGCTTGGCTCCCTCCTGCCAGGCGCCCCCCGGATCCAGACGCCCCTGTCCCCGCGCGGGCTCCCCTGCCCTCCTGAGCCGGAGCTCTGGTCAGGGCCACACACTAGAATGGTACCTTTCCAGTCTTGTCCCACTACAGTTTACCTGTCACGGAATTACGGAAGTTATAGTTAAGGAAAGGAGATGATAGTTGTGAAGGGGAATGTTAACCGCTTTACCAAGCATGTGCGATGGGTGCAGCGGCCTGGAGCCAAGAGGTTTGAGGGCAGGGGCCAGGGCGGTAGATGATGCCATGGGGTGGCCACTTCCACAGAGTGCTCTTTGCCCTGTTCCTGGGCTGTATGTAAGGAGGCACTTTCTCAATACCCTGAGCTGGTCGTGACTATAGCCAGTGTCCCGCAGCTCCTCCTGTCCAGCGTTAGCTGTGGTGGGAAATGCTCAGACCCACCCAGCCTTGATCTGCCATCGTTGTGCTTAGGTGCCCGCCGGTCCAAGCACATACCTTCCTGAGCACGTCTCCAGTCTTCCTCTCCTCTACTGCTCTTCTCTGTATTTGACCCAGAAGACATAGGTCTTGACGGAGGTGGCAGGTAAGGACTAGTGGAAAGCGCCCGCTCGTATCAGCTACATTTGTTTAGCTAATTATGGAAAATTACAGGCTGACTCTACAGGTGTAACTTCCAGTTCAGAATTGTCAAAAGATTTATGTTTCCGGTGTCAATTCTGTAGAAAATAGTATCTCAGGGTTCAGTTAGAAAACAGGTAGTGGGTGAAAATGCCAAGCCTTGCAGTTGTTGCAATCCTGTTACTGTACAATTTGGCATAGTCTGGCCATCCTATTAATTCGCACCAAATGGGACATTAAGGAGAAAATGAGTGTAGAATATCCCATTTCAATTTCTGTTTAGAAGTTCAGATATCCTACTGCCAATGAGAGACCAATGTTATTTCCACAGAACAGATTCCTTTGTTCTTAGATACACGTATGCAGAATTATATGTTGATCAGTATTATTAAGTACTTAGAGTTTTTCAACTCTTGTCATAAATTAAGGCTGAAAAAAAATATATGATTAGAGAACATTGTTAAAATGTGGGTTTATGTCAAGACTGTGTGGTTCATTGGGGAAGAGTTAACCCAGTTACCCAGCTGGTCACATTCCCCCCTATAGCTTCATGTGCCTCCCTTTCCAGTGTATGCTCTCAGGTGAACAGGAAGAAGAGGGGTACCTCCCAGAAAAAAGAAGGTTCATTTCCAGTTAAAAGAAAGGAGTTAAAAAAAGAAGCACAGGAGGAGTGGATGGGCTTGTCTGCTCAACCACCAGATGAGACAGTTACTTGTTTCTCCATAATTACTGGGAATATCTATGACCCCAGCATTTTAAAGGACACACTGGGGGTGAGACTCTGCCCTCAAGGACTCGTCTTCCAGTGTGAGAGGCATAAACCACATAGCACGCATGTTACACAGAACAACAGCACAGAGGCAGAAATGACGAACTCTGTCTGGGAGTGAGGAAAGTTTTAAGTTCTGTAGTGGAGGCGATATTCGAGCTGATGTTGAAAGGTGAGTATGCACTTATTTATATCCTGCTCATTCCAGAAGGATTTAAAGTGCCTTGTAGGAGTTAACCAGGCCACAGAGGCCTGGGACAGCATTTCAGACACGGGAAGTGACAAAGCTCAGATGTAGGAAAGAACAGGGTGTGCTTGGGGAGTGACTGCAAATCTGAGGGCAGATGCGAGACTATCGCGTGACCCTGTGTTAATCACCAGCAGTGTTTTCAAACTCCAGCACGTGAGAGTCCCCTGGACGGGTTTTATACAGCACAGATCACTGGGCCCCATCCCCAGAGATACGGGTTCTGCAGGGCTGGGGTGGAGGAGCGCAAGAATTTGTGCAGTGTTTACAAATTCCCCAAGTGATGCCGATTTGGCTGGCTTGGGACCTCACTGTCAGAACCACTTCCCTAGAGTTTGGATTTCACCCTGTAGGCCAGTGGTTTTCAGCCTCTTTCGTCCCCTGAATGACTAAAGTTCTGCGGCACACCAAAGAATATGTTTTTGCCGATCCGACCCCCAAAATAGTATAATTTTGATTGATTCACACTGTACGGCTGTTGTGCTAGCTGTTGTCATTTTTTAATTGGACAGTCGAAGGGAAAAGAGATCAGTGTCCCTCACTAAATAGTCAGGTGTTGAATGTTTTAAAAATTCTGCGGCACGCGGGTTGGAAATCACTGCCATGGTCAGTTGGGAGTCCCTGCAGTTCCTGTAGCTTGAGAAAGACTCAGATCTGGATTTAGAAAGTTTCCTTCGAGCTATGAGGAGAACCTGGGGCGAACCACTTGCTAGATTCATTTCACACGTTCAAAAGGCAACGTCAGCGGGCCTCAGTCCATTTATGGAAAAATCAGAGACTTAAGAATATCTAGAGGGTTGATCAAGATGACTTGGAATGATTGAATATGGGGAATGAGGGAAAGAGAAGGAATCTCAGGATGTCAAAATTACATTTCATAGTACAAATGAAATTCTAAAAATCTAAAGCCACCAAAAATCTCAGTTTCTGATCTCTTTTTTGCCAGTGTCTCAAGGTTAGGTCTTTGCACCTTTACAGCTAAAGAAGGGGAGGCGGGTTAGCCCTGGTCATTCGGCAGCCAGACCTCGGACGCATGATATGAGGCCCACTGGGTAGGATCAAGGCTTCCTGAGGAAGCACCCTCCAGGGGTGCTGTTCACCCGCTGTGCTCACTTTGAGCATCAGAGCCTTGGCTGCAGGTATCAGCGGTGCCTTTTCAACCTCAATAGACTCTTAAGAACTGCAGGAGGTCCCTCCAATACATGGCACTGTGCAGATACACCGTGAAGGAGAAATTGCGGCAGATGAAGTACAAAGTGGAAAGTGAGGTCTGTATGTCACGTGGTCGTAATTACATTGAATGCATAACACAGGTTTTGATTTAATTTCCAGCGTCTCCAGCAACCGTTGCGTTCTTAGCAAAGTCCCTCAGGAACTGCGTCTGTCCTGTTCTCACTTTGAACTTTGTTCTTCGGAAGGTGTGTAGGGTCTGCTGACCCTCTTCGTGGGTTTTGGGCGGCTCCCTCCTCTTGCAGGGCTGTTGAGATGGGCAACTCCTTGTACAAACCCTTCTTTATTTTTGAAGTAATCTGTGTAATTAGCTCTTGTTGAGTGGAAGCCCCAGAAGACACGTCTACCCCGAAACTGCGCTTGAGCTTGTTTGGGAAAAGGGTCTTTGAAGGTTTCCATAGACAACACTGATTCATTCATAAAAGAAACAAAAAAAAAAAGGAAATTTCAGAATTATAGGCTCCTTGGCAAGAGGAAATTCACCCGTTGAGTTGTTGGACAAATAAGTTTGACCATCTAATAAAATCAGGTGTACAATTTGTCCCATAGTGATAATTCTGTCTGGGCAATATAATAAAACTTATAAAAAGTGGTTCCTTGTATTTCTAAGGCAACTCACTTTATAAAAGAATTTTTAAAAATAAAATGTCAATTGATGTCGTTAAATGTTTGTTAATAATTGACCGCTTGAGGAATATACTAGAAAGAAAAAAATGTGAAAGCTTTACTCTTGGAAACATAACCACTAATCAGTTAAAATGGAATACTATTTCAGTATAAGAGAAGAGCTTAAAGGGGCAAACATTTTATATATACTTTAAAAATACCTATTATACTAAAAGTAGCAAGAAGTCATATGAACACTTTTAATGTGATTTTTGTTCATTTATGTTCCTTGGGAAAACATTCCTACAAAAATTTTCAAAATAAAAGGGAATAATTTAATATCAATAGTTACAGGAACTAATACTGCTGTTTATAACAAAACTACTTTAGTATTTTTTAAAAAATACTGTGGTTAAATGTTTTTTTCCTTGGTTTGCACACACCGAGAAAACTTGACCTAACTTTTTCAAATTTAATAGATGTGAATAGAAATTATAATTATGAATCTGGACTCCTGTTTTTGCATCTTTATTACCTTACAAGTAAATGAAATAACACCCCCTTCTAACCAGTGGAGATAAACAATTTAGGATTAGTTTTAAAAGTCTACTTAATAAAGGCAATTTTCTAGAGTAAAAGAATTGTTCATAATTCCTCACATTCCAGTTTATAAAATAAACTTTTTTCTGTTTGACAACCCATAAATAAGAGATCTATTTCAAAATTACATTTTTACTGGAGCCGCTCCTCATTAAAACAACAAATGGTCTCATGATCCCAGAGAAAGAACACGTTCAGCTTGTTCCTTGGGCTGCGTTTAGACTTAGGTATGAGCCACTGAGATTCCCCTCGATTGCCTGTCCGTGTAACAGACCACAGCCTGCCCTCAAGAACGATTTCCTTCTTGCTGTTACAGGTAAACTAGTATTGATAAGTTACCTCAGAATTTTATTTTGGAACCTAAGACCCTTACTAGGTTCTTTTATTGGGAGGGGCACCTTAAATATCCCCTGTCTTCAGCGTGATATAGGTCATGAGAAAATCTGATCCACTTCTTGCCCCAACCTATATTTTACTCTGTTGGGTTTTGTTTGTTTTAATTTTTTATTTTGATTCACTTCTAATTTTTTTCTCAATGGTGAACTTGTATGATATTCCCTTATTCCACACACTCTTATCCTGACACACAAAATGAGGACTTAAGAAATAAATACTGAAAATATGCATGAAAATTCACCAAAATGCTCTTCTTTAGATGTTGGATTTATGAGAGATTTTTCAAAAATCCTGTTCTTTTCTGGCCTTCCCAACTTTAATAAAAATAAATTGGTTTTGAGGCTTACTTGCACTTTAAGGTAGGACTTTACCCTACAAATGTAAATTGTGGAAGGAGAGGGCAGTGGGGGGCCCGTCTCAGCTCAAGTGAGGACAGCTGGGCAGCAGCGGTGTCTGGGGTCAGGTGAGTCGGGTGAGAGGTGGGCATCCCAGGAGTCCCTTCCTAGGAGCCCCATCTAGATGCGCTTGCAGGTGAAGGTCTGCTGAAGATCCCACATCCTTCTTACCAACCCACGACACACAGGTAAAAAGAAACCAACTCTCTAACATTTTACTCAATCTAAATTCATTTTAAGAAATGTTTGCAGTAATGTTGAGAAACTAGAGCACCAGTGGGGTGGGGGGTCAAATGGTATCACTGATGTACTCAGTTTTAAGTGCTTTAAAAAAAGTGATGAAACATTTAAGTGCCTAGATATTTACTGTGATCATAAAATGCCATATGGTGGTGATAATTCATTAGGCACAGACTTGGAATGTATGTGTCCATCTGTAGATGCGTGGCATTTTAATGAGTTGCCTTTTTTGCCACTAAATTCAATAAATAGCTTACCTCAGCAGTATTGGTTTTTGGTAAATGAATGTTTGATAAGCTAATGATCTTGTTGGAAAGGGCAACGTGAAGTTCATCGTTCTGTGCGATGGAAGCACGGCCGGCGTTCTGGCGCAGTGCGTCCGGGCAGCCCCTGCCAAGCGCAGTCGGTGCTGGGAGCTGGTCTGCAGGCTCTGGCCGCTCCACCCTGCGGAGACCTCGCACGGCGCTGCAGGGCCCGCAGGTAGGAGAACTCCCGGCCTCATTCACCCGTGTGCCCGCGGAAAGACAATAACTAAGGAGAGAGGGCTGCCTTCTGGTGGCGCAGAGCCGAGGGGCCAAGGGCCTGGAGCAGGTGAAGATGACCTGAGAGCACCGTAGAAAATGGTTTACTTTTTCTTGCGGTCGGCCCTCTTCCTCTAACCTTGACGTCTGGTACAAGCTGGACAGACTCCTTTAGACACAGGAGCCCTTCTGACTAGCGGGTGCTCAGGCCGCACCCGAGGTGGAGCAGGGAGCAGCCTAGAGGTCCCACCCCACCTGCTGCCACCCACCACCGACCCGCCAGACCTCTGTGTGCAGGCATTTCCTCGAGGGCACTGCGTGTACCCTCCCTAGCTGGGACTTCCAGGGCGGTGGGCCGTTTGTGAAAGCAAAGTCTGTTGAGAATGAGGGCAGTGGAGAGATGGCGGGGACTCGGGAAAGAGTGGAAAGCGAGTGGGTGGTTGGGAAGCTGCTGCGAGGACTTGGAGAGGCCCTGAGGACCGGGCGAGGGGAGCAGAGGCTTCCCAGAAGGCTCCCGCGGTCTTGCCGTGAGGGGAGGAGGCGCGGCTGTGCAGAGCAGGGAGTTGAGGGTGACTGTGGCTTCGAGTGATGGAGAAGACAGGCTGGCCTGGGCCAGCAGTGACATCAGACAGCAGAGAAGAGCAAGTGAAGAGAAACTGGTGGGGCCCAGTAGGCTGCCCTCCTGAACAGAAAATTAATATTGAGCTTAGAAATTAAAACAACTATGTCCAGTTCTTGCTGACAACACAGTGCTATCTCTAGATCCCTAAAAGTAGCTGACACGGGCGAAAGCCCTTTACGTAGGTTATCTTGTTTAACCCTCACAATCACCCTGGGGCGCTTTTATTCCAGTTTTACAGATGAGGAAACTGAGGCGTAGGAGACCTGCCAGTCAATCACGTGTTTAGTGAATAGAAGAGTTAGGATTCAGACGCAAGCCCCGGTTTTAATCGCATTGCAGTACATTTCTGCCCCTGGTGTTTGGGTTACAGTGAAGTCAGTGTTTCAGAAACGAGTGAGTGGGTGGGGAACGAATGGGTGAGACGGAGGGTAGCCCTGGGGGCCACGTCTCCCACGAGCGGAGCTCAGGCGGTGTGCAGTAAATCCCCATCTTCCCCTGGCTAAGTTATCCGCGGGAGACTTCCTGAGGAAATACAAGTGTATTTTGTGCAACTTTGAGTTTTGGGGAGGAACAGAAAGGCTGACTTAAAGGATTTAAAAGAGATGATTCTGTATGTAAAGGGTAACGTGAAAAGTCACTACGAAGGAAATAGAGCTAAGCATTCCTTTGAATTGAAAGTCACGCGAGACTGGGAACAGGCTGACCATCTCCCTCTGGTAGATTATCTGACTGTGCAAAAAGCAGTAAGGAAGGAACTATCTAAACTCAGTGAGGGGCTGGCATAGACGGTTAACAGATGGTGGACAGGCAGAAGGACCAGCACAGGAGCTGGAGAAAGTGCAGCCACAGGGAGAAACTGCCGGCCCCTGGTCTCATGTTTCTCAGCCCGTCAGACTCGGATGGACAGTGATCTCCATTCTGCTCTGTGAGCAGCAGGACTCTGCTCTACGTGGTGTCTGCGGACAAAGTCCGGTGTGTAAAGCCAAGGTGGGGGTGGGGTGGGTCCTGGGCACCCCTCTCCTCCCTGGGCCACCGCAGGCTGAGCCCGACACCTCCCCAGGAACTCCAGCTTGAACGCCAGGAGTGGGCTCGTGGGGCTGGGAGGACCTGGGTGCCCGAACACGCAGGGAGACCTCACCTTTGCTGCTGGAACGCTGGCTGAGGGCTGACCTGGGTGGAGTCACCTCTGTGCCCAGTTCTGTGATGAGTCCTGCTTAGCACAGTTGTATCCTGCTTGTTCTAATCCATCGTGGGTATTTATGTTACAGAATTAAACCTATTATTATTCTTAGTTCACCACACAGTGAATAATAAAGCCCTGGAGAGAACTCCAAGGAGAGCAGGTGGTGCTGGGTGGATGGAGAGGCACGCAGGAGGCTCACGGCATTCACCTGCGTGACCGTTCCATCCAGTTCCCATGTCTGCTGCCTCGCAAATAAACCCAGAATCTGCCTAATGTATATTTTAACTATCAACATGATTCCTGTATTTACTGTAAACATTAACCTTGATTGTTGCTTTGCTTCTGCCTGGCTGCTAGTTTTCTAAATTCTACTTAATGAGCTCGTTACCTCTGCTGAGAAAGACAGCAATGCCACCAATTTCCTTCAGAAGACCAACGCCGGCTTTTGTATTCTGCTCTTTGAGGAACTAAAATTAGGCCACAAATTACTCTAATGAACAAAAAATTCTGCTAAGCGATAGCAACTTCCTGTGCTTTTCTGAGATTTGGGGATGACGTTGCAGAGTTCAAATAGAAGTTCCAAGCTTTCCTGGAAAAGTGGATTCGTTTGTAATTTGTAACACTTTGGGATCATTTGCCTAAATGATCCCACTCAGGCTACTAATTAAAACCCGAATTCCCAGGTTCCACCTTCTGATATCTTTATTTCAGTAGGGCTGGGACAGGGACCAGGGTCTGCCTTTGGAAGAACTGTTCAGGTGATTCTGACACAGGTGGCCCATAGGTAGCACCTGAGAAATGCTGGAGCAGGTTCACACCTAGGAACTCTTTAGGGGGAAGCGCCCAAAGGGTTTCCCTGGAGTGGAGAAACCATGGGGAATTTCCACTTTGCCCAGCACCCTGGTCTCCACAGGTGGGGAGCTGCAGGTGGGGAGTGGGGTAGGTAATCCACTGAACCCTGAGGGTGAGGAGCTGAGTAATCAGCAGCTCCTGAGTCCTTCCAAGGTATTTAGTCTGTGCTGTTGTGTATGTTTTGGAAATTCCGCAAGCTCCTCAGATACCTTGAGTAACTTTCAGAAGACGGCTCTCTGTTTTGCATTCCGCAAGCCCTTTAAAAAATATGTAACAAGTTCTGCAAACCCTGCTCTGAGCACCTTGACAACCGTCTTCCATGTTTTAATTATAGAAGCTTTTTTCCATTATTGGTTCTTCCCTCAACACAGCATCTCACATACTTAAGAAAAAGTAAGGTGTTTGAAGTTGAGGTAGTTTTTTGTGGTTTTTTAAAAATATATCTTTATTGATTTCAGGGAGAGAGGAAGGGAGAGGGGAGAGAGTTAGAAACATCAATGATGAGAGTCATTGATGGGCTGCAGCCCACAGCCCAGGCATGTGCCCTGATACTGATCTGGATCCTAGGCCAATGCTCAACCGCTGAGCCATGCCCTGCTGGGCGAGGCAGTTTTTAATTAAAAGAGTTGTCCTAACACACACAGATAAAGACTATTCGTGTAGTAATTTGCCCAAAGTGTCAGTGCTACGAAGTGATGGAACTGGGATTGGAACCCAGGTGCTTGGTGTCCACACCTCACGCTGGGCCTTTTGACAGAATGGCTACGAGGCTCTGAAAGTGGTATTTCATAGACACAGCTTTGGTTTTCAGTCTCGTAAGACGTGATTTCTCAATATGAAGGGTGCTCATGTTTTGAAGTATAATTTGAAATTGTTCAGCATATATAAAGAAGGGAGGTTGTAGAATTAGTTCCAGTTACACTTTCCAACTGCACTATCATTTTAATCGGGTGGCAGGAAGTTTGTACATAGAAAACCTCCCTTTTAGAAGCAGGTTCTGGGAGTGGCTAAGCCCCCAGGTGCTGTGGAAGGGGCCACTGTGTATCCAAGGATTTAAAGCAATGCCACTGACTCTCGGCCCCGGACCCTGGAGACGTACCTGTCCTGTCCTGTCTCCCCACCTCCTGAATCCCCCAGGATCACGCCCTCTGGAGATAGCCGAGCCTAAAACAAGCATAAGGCCTTCAGGTGAGAGGTAACAGAAATTTTGCGGGCTCCATGGACCGGGAGCTTTGCTGTCCTCTTATTGAGGAGGGTAATGGAGATGTGAATGTCAGCATTTAGCAATGGCACATGTCAGTGTCACTCTGAATTTCATACACAGGTCCTGTCAGGACATATGCTGTAGT